ATGAATCTCCCCTTCCTGCCTCCCCACCCTCCCCCTGCCAATTATTTAGCATTTGGGGGACTGCCTGACAACCCAGGCAGTCCTTCATTGCTAAACAGCAGCCTGAGGTTTTTCAGTTAAATGTCCAAGGGAGAGCTGTTGCCGTATATACTCGAGTATAAGACGACCCGAATATAAGTCGAGGCACCTAATTTTACCACAAAAAAACTGGGAAAAATTGACTCCAGTATAAGACTAGGGTGGGAAATGCAGCAGCTATTGGTAAAATTCAAAAATAAAAATAAAAATAGATACCAATAAAATTACATTGAGGCATCAGTAGGTTAAAGGTTTTTGAATATTTATTATAAAGAAACAGTAAACTAGCTCTGTAAGGGGAAAAGAGGGTCAACAAAAACAATATGGTATCAACAATAATTTTAACAGTACAAAAACCAACTAAGTTAAGAGTTAAAATCCTTCAAAACTGGATTCTCACCATCTGTATGTCCAAATAGAACTTCAACTGTAGCTGGTGTGAGGTTATCAGCGTAGACCTTATCACGGAGTTCACTGCTGTCCTCATACAAAGCGCTGTCTTCTCTGCCATCCGTAGCATTACTAATTCCACATTTCTTGAAGGCGCGTTGCACCATGTCCTCTGGAATCTCTTCCCATGCACCACAAACCCATTTTGCTTTAAATTCTATGTCGGGCTTTATCAGTTTTCCAACTTTTGTCAGTCGGGGGTGACCAGATGACATCCATTCATGCCACCTCTTTTGCACACGGTCTTTGAAAGGTTTATTTAAACCCAAACTAGCAATGATGGTTTTTTTCTTTAAGGCTGCTCCTGGTCGTCCGTTCCAAATTTCTTCCAGCCATTTTTTTGTTCCGTCTTCATCCATCCAGCCTTTAACATGTGCGCGCACTGTAATTCGTGGTGGGAATTTGACTTTTTTAGGCAAGGTCTTTTCTTTTAAAAATGACAGGCCGTATCTTAGTTCCATTAGCCAAACATGACAGAACGACTGTGAAATGTTTTTGTTTTCCATTTCCTGTGGTTCTGAGTAAAATAAATATCTTTGTAGAATGACTTGAATCTCCATTCTCCTATCCTTGAATTGGATCCAGTAACCTGGAAAGGCAACTTTGAGCCTATAAAACTGAGCCATGAATTGTATCTATATCAGTACTTCAAACAAGTATATATTGGTATCTGTATTTTACACTGGTTTGGCACTGTTGCATGAAGGTTTATTTAAACTAGTGTATTACATTTTTTACTCTCATGATTGTGTTGGAACACTTCAGTATGCTAGTTCTACACTATATTTCTCACGATCAGTGAACTTAAGCACCTTACACATTTAATTTTTACCTTTGTTTTCTTTCGGATAACCTATATGCAATTTAGAGGTATTGTGCTGCGTCCCTGGGTGGGGTCTAGAGGGACATTGAAATCTCCCCCCAAGGATCAGTATTGTCTGAGAATCCCACCAGCGGGCTGGGGTGCAGTCAGGAAGATAGCGGCAAAGGTACAGATCTGTGATGCGATATTTCCTTTCACAAAAAGATATATATCCCATCAGGATAAGCTCTTCTTCAGGAGAGCGAATAGGGTTTTATTCGAGAATAGGATGGTGTAACGGAGCTCCTTGTACTCCGACTGAGTACCCTCCGTTGATGGATGCTCCTAGCGCTTCCTGAGGACTCCCAAGCACTGCAGCAGACACCACAAGCACCGCAGACTCCGCAACCGCCGTATCTTGACTGGAGTCTCGCCGTCTTCCTTCCACCCTGGATCAACTTCTGTCCTCCAGGACTGTGTGGTGAAGACCCCTCCTCCAAGGAGAGCGTGTCAGGAACAAGCTCTTAAAGGAGCTAAGTGACTCAATTTCAGGGGAGCATGCAGAGTATAGCAATCCCCAGTGTGATTATAACAGCTCCCTCCAATAACGAGACAAGGCTATGTTTAGAGGGATCAAGAAGAACTGTCAAAACCTTTATTTCCCTTGGGACCAGCCAATAGGGTCACCACAATAACATTGTTGTGAAACCTCAATAAAATCACAAACAGTCAAATCATATCAAGCAACACACAGTGACTTATCACAACACAATGGCACATTTTTAAAGGGGTGGGGGGAGACAATATTTAACAGTAAAGTGAGTAGGCGACATAGTGAGAATATTGTATGTATTTTAGTTAATCCTTTCTCTGCTAAATGTGGCATAGCATAAACTCTTGATTATGCATTTTTTTATACTTGTAATAACGAAGACAAAACCTTTGTAATTACTGAATTATTGTGGTTTGTTTTCATTTTGTTTTTGTGTTTTTGTTTTTTCTTTAGATTAATGAAAAAAAGCTTTCTGATTACTGTGGAGCCTGTGAGATTGGGACAAATCCATATCCAGTATACGCTGCAGTGGAAAAGACAAATGTGAATAAGGGCATTAAATTTAAACCAGGTGGGTCCAGATAAAAGTGATTACTAATAGCTTAGTATTACTAATTGCTTCTGTAACTAATAAACAAATGCAATTTCAGAAACCTGGTTTGAATTCACTCCACACACATCTGGATTTCCTGCATATAAAGAATATGTGGACACAAAGCTATTGGGCAGTGAATTCAAACAAGGCAAAGTTACAAAGAGCCAGCCTGAGAGAGAAGTTGGTTTTCTGCAAGGTAAGTTAAAATTTTGATAAATGTAACTTTGCACCTTTATTACACCTTTTCTATCTTTGCAACTATGCCTTGTTAGAGATTGACATATCTTGCTGAGGACCCTCTCCCTTCCTGACAGTCTTTCATGTCTAGTGTACGTCCTTTTATTTGCAAGTTGACATTTCATTTTAAGTTCTAAAGTTTTATCAGGACAAAGGAAAACACAGGTATCCACCACATATACATATAGAAAAAAAAAACCTTCATCCAATTTCTCATCACCCATATGAACAATGAAAATTAGTGATTCCACCTGGCTTGGCTCAGTTTGTGATATTGCAGCTGGTTCCCTGACAATTAGGCACTGTGGGCTTGATTATAAGGCACTGTATATGGTGATGTATGTAGAGCTATGAAGCAAGGGTAGGTAAAACTATAAAATGTACACTCACGTGTAATGGAGCCGTAAAACCTGGCTCCTCTGATCGCGCTTGAAGTGGTATGATCCCCACTCAAAGATACAGGTGTAGATATAAATCTTCTGTCCGTGTATATGTGGAGATAAACAAACAGAACCACCATAGTGTACACCGTAAAAAGGAGTGTAAGCAGAAATAAAGAAGTTAAACCTACTCACATGCTAAAGAGCAAGTGAGCATGGTTTATCTTGCCTATCACAACTACAGTTTTAAAATGCTACACTATTTCTTCTCATGTTCTCTCCACATATACCTTGTCACATATTCTATGTGTATTTTGATATACATAATCAAAATACAGTTAAAACAAAATTACATATATTTTTAACTTTCAGTGTGTATATGTGTATATATATGTGTGTGTGTGTATATATATATATACACATATACACACTGAAAGTTAAAAATATATTTTGATCTTTGAGTGTGTTTATGTATGTGTGTATGTGTATATATATGTGTGTGTGTGTATATATATATATATATATATATATATATATACACACACACACACACATTGAAAGATCAAAATATATATATATTTTTTTGTTTTGTTGCATCCAAGTAAAACAACTCAATAGCTTTAATAACTAAAGACTACTAATCTAAATGTAATGATGTTCACATTTTATTGTTTATAATGTATAAATATAACATGTTTAATATCGTAACTATAATGGCACCCAAGTACACGAAGGGTTAACGCCGTTTAGGATGTTCCCTTTCCGAATGCCAAGGCAGCTAACTCTCCAATCAGCCGAACAGGAATCAGCACGCACGTAACCGGCACGGTGACAAGGCTCTGTATTGAAGGTCAAGCAGTGAACTGGTTTAATGTGGGCTACCTGCCTGGTATTTATGCAAGTCTTCCACCAGGTGGACACTCCCCTAGGGGACCTTGTGGAAAACGGACACCGTAATAATACAGTAGCCAAGCACAAGATTGCAGACATAAACACTCCCCTTTAGTTGTAAGGGACCCTCCTCTCTATCCTGGAGATAATTGGGAGGTAATGCAATTATCTCCAAGGATAGAGGCAAAACTCCATTTTATACATGGTAGAAAAAACACAAAAATATATAACATGAAAACTACCGAATGCACTAGGTACAATTAACATGTCCCCAGATAGCTTAGATCTGAGCGCACATTATTACCGAATGGCGCTCAGATCACATACATACAGTTCAATCGCCATGGAGCCAAAGTCTTTCACATAGTCTTTCGTTGTACGAATGGGCTCCATGGCATGGCTATCTGGGGAAAGTTCATTTGTGCAGAAAAGTACCGAACAGATCGGCGCTCATATGATGGAGAAATAGGAGCGATGTTGGCGGCTTCAGAGGTGTCCGTGCAAAATAGTTTACGTTTTTAGTTCCATGAAATCGTTGATGAACACTGCTGGGCATTAGTTTGTCCAAGATGGCCACCGTCTCATGTTCGTTATACAAACGACTACCACCCAGCCTACATTCGACAATTAAGAGGTGTCTGCGGTTAACCTCAACGTTCTAATGAGGCCAAGAGGTTAACCAGCAGCACGCTTCCATGCTGGGTGACCAGCTGTTTCAGCAGTTCGTTCGGTAAGATGAAGAATAAACGTACAGGCTGTACGGACAAAGAACTAGCCAAACAAACAGACGAACCAAGGAGAAATAAAGCAGTTTAAAAGACAGAGAGGTCTGTCACAGTAACTATTTAAACAACCTGTGAAATAAAGAATTATAAATAGGAAGAAATATACAATAATATGGCCCACACCAATACTCCAGACAGCCGGATAAACTATGCCTAAGTAGGGGAATAGAAATGTAATTAGTTCATCGAAAGTATGTTAGAACGTACGTATCTTGCACAACTAGTGCATGGTTGAGAGAAAAAAAATGGAATCCGTGTGAAAGTGGGTGTAAAAGGGAATAAACGCCACCTTCACACTGATGAACTGCACCAGAAGGGCACTCTACCAAGGGCTTAACCCTAGATGCTAACAGAAATTCAGTTTGTGACTTTTTTAAAAAAAAAAAAATTTTTGTTGGTAGAGCTTGAGAAAGGAATATATTCTATATTAATAAAATACACTTGGACTGTGTGTGTGTGTGTGTATGTGTATGTATGTATGTATGTATGTGTGTGTGTGTGTGTATGTGTATGTATGTGTGTGTGTGTGTATGTATGTGTGTGTGTGTGTGTGTATGTATGTGTGTGTGTGTATGTGTGTGTGTGTGTGTGTGTATGTATGTGTGTGTGTGTGTATGTATGTGTGTGTGTATATATGTATATATATATATATATATATATATATATATATATATAGTAATTTTTTTTTCAACGGTTTTAAAACATTATTAAACTTTTCTACAGGCAGCAGGGGGACTACCTGTCATTCCAGACGCCTCCCCTGCTATGGCACTGCAATTTGATCGTGAGGTCCGAATTGGCAGGTAAGTCTCGCCCCTCCCATCGTGATCGCCGGCGTGGGATCGATAGTAAGTGGGAAGGACGGCGTGTACGTGTTATGCCGCCCGCCGGCATTTAGAGCCAGGTCCCCAAGGATAGTATAGCATGCGTGCCGTCCTTAAAGGGTTAAGTACTCATGGATGAATACCGTCAAGCCCTGGAGCTTTGTTTATATCATCTTTATTTAGTTGCTGCAGCACTTTGTCTTGAATTAGCCAATTACAATTTTTGAGTTTTTTTGCAGCAATCGTTTGCATATCTATTGCCTTTGGTCAGGGGTTCCAAATTTTATTTTTTTTCCTATGGAATAGTGTATCAACATCTAGGAAGCCTTCCCACCCTCGCCGTCACCAAAAAAAAAAAAAAAATTGCAGTGTTGCATAAAGTTTTCAATTCTCAGAGTATAATGCTGTTTTTTTTCTTTTGTTTTTTTTAAACTATGTATATACACATTAATTTCTACAGACAGTAAACAGTGTAGCATTTGGGAGCAGTGGTGCTCCTGTGGGTAGCATTGGTGTTTGTATATGATTTTAACATTATACAGTGATGTGTTTGTATATAATGTTTGCATTTGTGTGCAGAGGTATGTTTGGATGTAGTGTTGGATTTTAAATGCAGATGTACATTTGTGTATAGTAGTGGTGTTTGTATATAATTTTGGAGTTACAGTTCAGGGGTGTCTTTTCATGACATGCTTGTGTTTACAGATGTGTGTTTGTTGTTAGTCCCCTAAATTACTTTAGCTAAATAAAGCTGTTTTAGTGTATAGATCATTCCCCTGCAATTTCACTGCTCAATTCACTGCGGCGCTAGCCACACCTCCTCTGGCTATGATTGACAGTCTGCATGAAAAAAAAAACTGGTTTCACTTTCAAACAGATGTAATTTACCTTAAATAATTGTATTTCAATCTCTAAATTTATCACATACAGGAGGCTCTTGCAGGGTCTAGCAAGCTATTAACATAGCAGGGGATAAGAAGATCTTAATTAAGCAGAACTTGCAATAAAGAAAGCCTAAATAGGGCTCTCTTTACTGTCAGGATATTTATATCGGCAGACATTTTGTGCTAAGATAGAAATTAAGTGTATATTGCCAGAGTCACTCAGAACAGAGCGGACTCCATTTTGGATTTCAGGCAAGACAGACACAAAATTTCTTTCCTTTCTGTAACTAATCACTAGCCTGAGCTAAGGAATGCATTATGTAAACAAGCCAAGTGATAAGCAATGAAGCAGAGGGGTGCTCTGTTTAAATGTTAATGGAATAGAAATAATTTTAAACACAGACACTAGTGACAGAAGACTCAGTAATTAATTTTACTTTCAAAATTTTACACGGTTCCATTGTAAGTAAGGGGTGAAATTGAGTTTAGAACTGTCAGTTTTAGAAATTACAACAGGAATTGTCGAGGCGCTGTCTGGAGAAAATCCAAAGAAACGCTTTGAACTGACAGCAAATTTAAGTTATGGTAGTCATTTTAGATAAGCCAAATTACGTCAAAATCGTCATCAGGAAAAGTTAACTCTTTCCTGGATAGGAAAGTTTAATGGGGCAATTACGCCCTTTATTGACCAAAACCTATAAAATACTAGATAACGTTGACACACTTACAGTTTCCTATTGGCCTTATCAACTAATGACGTACAGAGTCTGGCCATTTAAAAGTTAGGACAAAGGGAAGGGAGAGGTGAGTGTGGGCATTCAGATTCGGACGTTCAGAGAGATCCAGGACAGATATTCAGGACACTCTGGGACTAACACTCAACTCTCAAACTCTCTTGGACACAACTCAAGAAACACTCCTTGACACTTAGAATTTTACTATTACTTTCTAACCAACATCACTTTTCTCTATTACTTACACACCTCCATACAACCAATCATACTTGCATTCAAGCTCCTGGGACTACAGACTCATCTGATGAGAACATCTACATCATAACTGGTAATTATGCTGGTTTTATTTAATAAATCTAAATTAATTAAAATCTATTAATAGCAGGACACATGCATGGATAAATCACAATCAGATCCCATAATTGAGGAATCTTGATTAAAGAATATGTAGTTATAACACTCCATTCTGCAGGTGGAGTCAGATAATTACATAGTACTGGTATTTTGCCACGTGTTAGCATACCGCTGTCTTTATCCATGTGTGTTGATTTGCTCTAGATTAAAATATATATCTTTTTAGGCAAATTAAAATTCGGCTTATAGAATCTGTAGATTTGACTCTTTTGGATGGTTCCAGGAAATGATTAATGAGCTGGTTTGAATGTTATTTTAATTGAAAATTACATGAGAATAGGATATTATAGGCCTAGGAGGATCTAGCCAGCATTGAAAGGGTTACTCGGTTGATCTAACGGTTAGCCAAGGTTTTATGGCTTTTCGCTGGAAGTCTAGCTTTCTGTGTCTGTGAAGTACCCTCATAAATCTTGTAAGTCTTGACAGTTGATGCTGTAGCTTTGTACTGTGTTTAACCATTGCCATTGTATACGACGTTATACTAAATATTCACTGATTATTATCATGCATGCTGCCTAATATTATTTTATTTGTCACAATAAATTATATCTATTTTTATAACAAATTGTGATTTTATTTGTATGGAATACTTTTCACTTACATGATAATGATTTCTAAGATCTAAGAGAATTGAAATAGTGGGCAATTCTCAACTGTATAATATGATCATCCCATAAATATCCCCACATTACAGGAAGTGTTTATGGAAGGCTTTGCAAGTCACATGCAGAAAGGTGTGACTAGGGTTCATAAACAAAGGGATTTAACTCCTAAATGGCAGAGGATTGAGCAGTGAGGCTGCATGTTCTATACACCAAAACTGCTTCATTAATCTAAAGTTGTTCAGGTGACTAGTGTCCCTTTAAATGTCTACATGTACTGTCACAAACATACACATTAACAAACACACCGGCACATAGTCATATACGCACCTACACACACACCTACACAGATACACACGCTGGCACATAGAAACACAGATGCACACTGCTGACACACACACGGTGGCACACAGATACACACCTTGGCACATGTTGGCACACAGATATACAGACAGACACAGACCCACGCACACACACATGTTTATATTTGCTGTTTACTTACCTTTTTTCTTCCTTCAATGCGGCTTGCTGAGGATGGTGTGCCAGGTCGGCAGGTGCTCACTCTCTGCTGCACTCCCTCTCGCCAGCGCTTTTCTATCTGGGAGGAATTGCTGTCATTTCCTCCCATCATCCCATACAACAGGGGTCTGGCCCTAAATGCTTGGGCCACGTGAAGGGCAAATCGCCGTGGAACCCCAATTTTGTTCTCCAACTGGGAAACGCTGCCATAGGTTATTCCTTAATATATACTGAGCAGAAATATTTAAAATGTTTGCCTTTTCCTGGTCTTCTTTAACCAACTCCCCCATCCCAGTTTTTAGTGTACCCATACTTTCATTTTTGTTTTATTACAATTTATGTACTTAAAGGTTAGTTTTGCTCTCTGTCACCTTCTCATTTTGTAGTTTAGCGAATCAAATTGCATTTTTGCATGCATTATTGGCTTTTATAGGATGCCTCTGATTTGTCTGATTTTTAAAGGCTTTGAATGCCATTTTCTTTAATTTCCTAATTCACTTTCCCAGTACGCCACATTAGTTTCAATAAGTTTTTTTAACCCCTTAAGGAACAAACTTCTGGAATAAAAGGGAATCGTGAAATGTCACACATGTCATGTGTCCTTAAGGGGTTAATATTTATTTCCCAATGGTACATACTGAGATATTAACCTTTCTAATATTTGTTTAAAGATCTTAAAGGTGTTCTATTTACTAAAGCGTTTATGCCAGTCAATATGTTGTAAAGCTGCCCTTAACTTGGCCTATTTAAAAAAATATGTTCTAGTATTCCCCATGTACATAAATCATTATGTTATGTAAAGTTAAAATATCAACTTTTTGTCTCTGACTATATGTAATGTTTAATTTACCTTCTTAGGAATCTGGGGCAGTGCACTTGCAAGTGAAAAAGTAATCTTCGAGTCCATCAAAGGTACTGTACAAATAGATCTTAATAGGGTAAAAAAATAAATAACTATTAATTGAAATCTAACTGTGAAGAAATTACCTTCTTTTGCTTTAAACTGACAATTTGGATTCCCTTCTTTTATGTTAGCTTTCCCTATGGCAATCGGTAGGTAAAACTACCGAATCAAGACCACCATGTTGCCCGTTATGCATACTTTACCTCCCTGCTTGCTGGGCATGTTCGACAAAAGTCCTGCACGAACGGTATGCACTGCCGCCATTTCGGGACTTCCACGTGTTCGCGGCCATTTTAGCTCCCGAACAGCGGTGTTTGCCGTCGAGTGTCTGGAATTGAAAACGGACACTCAAATAGGCGAACACCGCTGAATCCTCCATACCTTTGGTAAAACCCCATTAAAACTACTGAACAACCGGGCATTCGGTAGAAAGACTCACTAACAGATGGGGAATCAAGCGAACCAAGGATGGTAGCTGGATGGCCGGCCGTTCGGGAGGTTTTTCATGCGACCTAAGACCGACTGCAGGGCCAGAATTCATGGAACTGTTTTCGGCTACTTTGCCCGTGCAGTCGGTCAAAACTTCTAAGTCCCATATCTCCCGAACTGCTGAACCGAATGGACTGATTTTTTTCATATGTTGGTCCTTAGGGTACATCCAGACTTTGGGGAAATTATGTTCCGTTTTAACATATGGTGATTTGTTTTGGCTAGGTATGGAAGATGACCTCTTTTAAATGAGCTCCATTTGCCGATTTTCAAAGTCAGGCCCTTTCGATTAAATTGCTCATAGCATGTATAGGTCATACACACAGGTGTTACGCTACTTTTTAAGTGCATAAAAGTAATAAAAAGTAGAAGTTTAACACAGACTGGAATTAAGTGACCTTGTTTGTTATATTCAAGTTGTGTATAAGTTTAATATAGGGATATCTGCACTGTGGTAAATTAAGCTAAACTGAAATGCGAAGTTGAATCTCTTCAAATTTGAGGGTACAAGAGTCCTGTGAGAACTGCAGCTTGTCTCCTGAAGAGCACTGTGATGAGGTAAGATGGGATCATCTATCGGTAGTCAAATCATAATGTTAAAATAAAAAAAATTTAAAAATTGACTTAGGAAGCTATCAAGGTAAGAGGGCCTATTTTGAGTACTAATGTTATGACCAGTCGTAACAAGAGGTGGGTGCACAACCCAGCTTTTAGCAGGTCTGAGGTGTCCGTGGATGGCTGTGCCACAGCTGTATCCTTCTGCTTGGGGTAAAATGCTGGATGTTGTTCATGTCCCATGATGTTTATGTTGGAGTGGGAGGTTTGCTAGAGAGGGTTGCTGTACATCTTGGTACGTTGTCCAGTGAGGTGAATGCGCTTCTCTTGGTGGAGCACCGACAACTTGCGTCCCGTCTCCCAACGGTAACTGACGCCTTTGTCTCTCAGCATCCTAGTGACTAGTTGCAAGGAGTTTATCCAAAGCATTGCAGACCTAGAAAGGTCATTAAAAAATGATAGGTCTGAGCCTTCAATTCTATGTAGGAGAGTCCTGGTTGGAAGCATGTATGAGCTGTTTGCTCTTAAGTGACTGGAAGTTTAGCAACAAGTCCTGTGGGACCCCAGCCAGGACTTTGGACAACTTTGGGCGCCGATAGTGGTAGTCTAACTGTATAACTTTGGCCTTGGAGGGAGAGAGCATGACGCTTAACAACCTTCGTAGATGGTGAGGTACCTCCGCTTGTATGATGTCTTCAGGGACTCAGAGGAGCCTCCGATTTCACTGCTGCCTTGAGTCCTCCAGCACTGCTATTTTGCCCTCCATGGTGAGGGTGGTCAGCTTCAATTGATCTATTTCAGCTTTCAGGTCCTCCTGCTTGCTTCTGGTGATGCCACCCTCATCCTTCAGGGACTGCAGTCAAGCTGTGAGAGCACCCATGTCTTGGTGGACTAGTGCAATGTCGGCTGAAAAGAAGGCCTTCATCTCAGCTAGCATGTTCTGAATGTCTGCCTTGCTGGAAGGGTGTTCTCCGGACAGAATTTAGGGCACGCGCGCTTGGGCACCGGGTCATGCTAAATGTACGTCGGTCTCTTACTGGGTATGCCTCACCCGGCGAAGTCCTTCCTGTTACTCTCCTTTGAGCAACAGCAGTGGTGTACCTCAGAGCAGAGCAGATGTCTTTGGTGGTGGAGGCTGCTTTGCTTTTACAGAGTTTTGTTTTTTTTCCCCAGAACATCTGGCTAATATAGGAAAAGTTTGGGGCGTCTTAGACAGTCTTATAATTAGTCATTTTATCTTGAGAGCTCTAAGCATGTGGGTCCGTTCAGGTCAGTGGCTATCTCCGTCCCCAAAGTAAAATAAAATTCTATTTTGGAGTTCTGTATACCTTCAGTACCATAGTTTATGTCTCCATATCAAGAAGTTGGAACTGAACACCGTCAATGTGGAAAGTGCCGATATGTGTACCTTTAGATTATTTATAACTCAAACCCTTTTCAAGGCTTGAAGGAAGCTCAGGATTGTTGAGAAGGTTGAAGGAGTTCCAACAGTCTGTTTTTAAGTTCAACAGATAAATGCATGCTAAATTCTGTAATATGAGGAGGAAGTGGAATATTTGCGGGACAGTAAGAGGATCGTAATGACCGTCTCAGGGATGCCTTTACCACTTAGAACCTCCTGCTCAATCTCAGAGCTTGAGGATCTGGGTATGTCAAGGGACCTTGTAATAGGCGTGGACAGACTAAAAGTTCCCTCAAAGGGTTCCAGAATCCTCTTTCTTGCCATAGGGAACTAGGGTTGATGTATCCAGAAGTGACTGCTGAAATTAGAGGCATAGGAGGGAATATATATGCCAAACTGAAA